ACACGCTATATTCACATTACTGTGGATGCCATAGTTCAGTAGAGGTGTGGTCTTTATACAAATGGCACGTTGACAACAGGAGCTGACTCATTCTGCCATCTGCTCACCCAAACATGTTGGCAGCATGGCCTGTTTCCAAAAATCCCTCATCAAAAATATACTACTCACTAGCCACAGATCAGAGTGTCTGTTTAAGGATGATGCATTGAGCTCGGCCTTCCAGGTGGAGCGGCGAGGTGACCGAGGATGTCTGCGTTTGTCCGGTCCGCTGTGCCGGCTCCGGTGCTGAGCACTGACGACAGATGGGACAGAAACAGTTACCATCATTCATGACGGTGTCCACTCTGTCGGCCGGATTTGACTTTTGACTTGTTACATCACACAGTATGTCTCTCCCTGAGCTGATTCCAGCTCAGCCAGGGAGCCCGTCCAAGATTACAGAAAGTAGATCGACTCACAGAGCGAGTCCCAACTTAACAACACTTCTGAGAGCGTGACGCGGCCTGAGGGGTGACCACCACCAACACTGATTATCACCACCTTGTCACATTGGCTGTTATGACTGCCAGTTACTGTGTCACCTCTCCAGGGCCGGGGTAGATAGACTGAAACTGCAAAGCAATTTTAACTGGTCAGAGGCCGTAGGGAATGTTGGCCCAACTGACAAGCGTGGCGACTTGAGCGAGTTCTGAGGTGAGGATAAGCTCGGCGGTTAGGGAGGGGATGACACGGCTGCTTGTTTAAGGCGCTGGTCATTTCATGGCTTCTTGAGAAGTGTGTGGAGGCCTGATGGAGAGGAGGGCAGGGAGCCACTATATCTCAGCAGCATTGATAATAGTGTCTGTGATTGAAAAATAACGATGAGCAGCAGCCACATTCACTCTGGGCCCGAAGTGCTGCGTTGATACCTGGGCTCTTTAGGGCCGCACCTCAAATGCAGTTATCAGTACGTTAGATTTAAAAAGCTTATCTTGATGTTTTTGAATGTCACTATTTTAGCCTTTTTGCAGTCCTTCAAATCTGTGCTTGCAGGGAAATAGAGCAAAACAAAGAACATTTTTACTTAAAGTGGCTATGATCAATATTTTTATTAATAATGACTAGAAGGGCACTCAGTGCAGCACATACCTTTGCCAAGGCCCAACAGCCCCTTAAGTTCATTCAAGCTGCACTAAATCCAACACTATCATAAATATCAGTCTCCTAATAGTGTTTTCATCGAGATCTATGAATTATTATTTCATGGAAAATTGATGAAATGCCGTTTCCTGCAATGTTAAAGAAACTAAAATCAAATTTATGGATCTTCTCCTTTGCTCTGAGTCTAAATTTAGGTGCTTTTTTGGCCAAATTTGATGGAAATCAGCTAAGTTGTTTTTGCATAATCCTGCTGAAAAACAAACAAGCCTAAAAACAGACAGGGAGCATATATCAAAAACAGTGTGACAATGTGGAAGGTGTCTCTGGCAGTGATGAGATTTGCCTCCTGAACCTGCAGCTCTGCAGCTTTAGAGGCAGTTTCATCTCATCATTCAGCTGCAACTTTACAGCTTTGATTCACTCTCACCTCTCTCACTGTGTCACAGGCAGCTGTTAACTGTGATAATTATACAAAACCCCTCTGTACACTAACTGCTGAGCATCAAACACGCCAGACAACCACAAATGGAGCTGGTGAACAAAGTGAAGCCAGAAATTTCCTCCAGAAGTTTGTAGAGATCAAAAACTAAAAGCTACAACACAGGAATAATTGTATTTACAAGAACACAACTCGGAATCAATGATTATGTTGCTCTGTACCTTGTTGGTGTGCAAATAAGCAACTGTTTATTTTAGCCATATACAATTGAAGCTGGTCATATATG